GTGTATGATGGACTTGGTGGAGCCCTTCTACAGGTGCAGATGCCCCCCCTGGTTCACTACCCCCTGAGAAGGTGGGACTGGGTGATGGTGACCAGGAAAGGCACTCTGTGGTGCCCCAGGGGAGTGCTGATGTGAGATCCAAATCTTTCCACGTCTCGCTCACTCCCATGTGTCCCTGCAAACATCTCTTTCTCTCATCTCCTGTCTGCAACCTCTGATCTGATTTTCAACAAGGGGATGAATCGTTGTGTTTAACTTAAAAATGTTTTTTGTGGGACTTGATGTTCCTATGGCAACGTGATTTTGAGACTCATTTACTATCTGTGATGGTTAATTCTAGGTGCCCACTTGACTGGGCCACAGGTGGGCCAGTTATCTGTTAGGCCTCATTTTAAGGCCTGTCGAGGAAGTGTTTCTGGGAGAGATTAACATACAATTCAGTAAACTGAGTGACGAAGATCCCCCTCCCCGTGTGGAGGAGCAGCATCCAATCTGTAGAGGGCTTACATAGAGCAAAAAGGCGGAGGAAAGCAGAGCTCCCGTTCCCTTCTTAACTGCTGAGACACTGGCCTGCCTCTGGTGCTCCTGGTTCTTGTGCCTTCAGATTGGGACTTGAGTCATGTCATTGGCCTGAGGCCCTCAGGTCTTGGACACACTCCTGGCTTCCCTGGGCCTCCAGCCTCAGAGCCCGGGACTCCTCAGTCTCCATGATCCTGTGGGCCAGTTCCTCATACCAGATCTCTTCACAAACACACACACACATGTGTAAATGCACGCACACAGAGACACACACACACACAGACACACACACAGAGACACACACACACAGAGACACACACACACACACACACACACAGAGACACGCACACACACCAACTCACAGATGTTTATATTTAGACAGAGAAAGGATGCTTTTAATTCCTCCTCTGTAGAGTCCTAGCTAATACAATTTTGGGGTGGGTAGAAACAATTGGATTTCCAAATGGCAAGGCCTTGATTTCTATTTTCTTTTCATTCCCTTTCATTTCTGTTTATAAACTATTTCTCTCTTGAATTTATCTATTTCTTGCTACATCTTGCTAAATTCAGCCTAAGGAACAACATCATCAAGATACTGAGTCCTTCAAAAGCTTTCACTGGACCCAAAGGATCTGAAAAATAAAAAGGAAAATGAAAGAAATGAAGGGAATATTTGGGGGGGGGGTCCTAGATATTGAATCCAGGGGTGCTCAACCATTGGGCAATATTTCCAGCCCTTTTTATATTTCTATTTAGAGACAGGGTCTTGCTAAGTTACTTACAGAGTCACTAAGTTGCTGAGATTGGCTTTGAACTCTTAATCCTTCTGCCTCAGCCTCCTGAGCCTCTGGGATTACAGGCATGTACCACTGTATCTGGGTGAAGGAAGATACTTTTGCAAGTGATGAAAATATAATTCAAGAGTTATATGAAGAGTCCTGTAAACCAATAAGAAAAACACAAAATTCAACAGAAAAATAGGCAAATATAAACAGGTGTTTTACAAAGAAAGAAACACAGATGGGAAATAAACATATATAGAAGAATTTAAAATCCTTAATAGTCAAGAAAATATAAGTCAAGGCCACATGAAAAAAATAACTTGATACTCATTCTGTTGGAATTTTTAAAAGGGTACAAAAATCTTCATATCAGGACTCTATAGATGCAAAAACTTAGAACCAATCTTTTAATTTTTTTTCATGGTACCAGAAATTGAACCCAAGGCCTTGTGTTTGTTAAGCAAACACTCAACCCTTGGCCTTGGAAATAATCTCAGAATACATCAGAAGAAAACATGAGGAAACTATGACCGAGGTCACAGCACCTAAAGACAGTTAACAGCAGTGACAGGTGGTGATGTGAGTGAAACTTGGCCATAAACTTTGCAAAGTTAGAAACATGAAGATAAACAACATTCAAACACAGCTATGATGAAGCTCTGTAGGAAGATCCCAAGAAAACCATGAGTGTGAGCCCCTGCGTGTCACCTCCTGTGAGGTCGTCATGGTGAAGGGACGGGGAAGACTGAAGAGTGAATGCAGGTGCCTTCAAGGAGCTGCGCTCCGTTGGTCCTGGCAGGTCTGTGCACCTTATCCAGAGGTCCTCAATAATACCTTGCTGAATACGCAATGGTGGCCCATCTGTGCACTAGGGCATCTTCCATGAACCCTTGTGACTAATCTGTAATCTAATTACGTGCACATGCCATTCAGAACCTGGGGAGAAGAAAAGACAGAAGAAGGAAAGGAGGAGGAGGGAGGGAGGAACGGAGTAAGAGAAGAACATTTTTAGTAAACCAAGCAGAAAGATCCACTTCCCCAAAGTGGTGAAATCAGTCTGGTCTCAGACTTCTCAGCAGCCACCGTCAATGCCAACAATTTGGAAATGGAGTAATTTCTACTAATTTCTTAGGGGAAGAAAAAATGAGCCAAGAATATTACATGCCCAATCAAAAAAAAAAAAAAACCAACGTTTTTTTAAACTATAAAAAAGAATCAGCAAGACATCCTCTAACATGAAAGATCCCAAGGAATGTGAGCCCCATATGTTCCTTTTGGAAAAATTCTATTTAATAAAATAACGAAACTCTCGATGGATAAAGAAGCAATCGTCAAAAGAATGTGTATTATCCTCAATGCCAGTAAACGTGAGGCACTGTCTGTGAAATCCTGGGGGGGAGTGTGTCCCCAGCTCCTGTACCAACCTGAGAAGCCACTCAGATGTACAGGTGGCACGTGGACAGGGGCTGCTCCTGCTGATGGAGAGGACGCAGTCACACAGGAAACCCACAAAGACAAAAAAGGTCAGATGCCTCTGAGCAGAACCTGAGCCACACTTAGGGCTTTAGAACTCAACCCAAGATAAAGTGCAAACTAATATGATCTTGAAAATCAGGAGCTGAGGAAGGATAAATGAAGAGTGCCATCTTCTTCAGTGTATTTCTCAGTAAACCAAGACCATGGGAAACCGAGACAGGTTTAAAGTGAAACAGAAGGGTGGCAACTGCTCCACACACACGACCATTTCTATACCTTCTGATGTCTTTTCTGTAGGAAAATGTTTAGAAAAGTGGAAGTGAGTAATTCCTCTAGTTTATTATTTTATTGTGTTAGGTTAAGATGAAAGTAATTTTCATAAAAATAATACACCAGGATCCCATTTAAAAAAAAAAATATCCCAGTCTGAATTTCTCTCTCTCTCTGGTTACCTATCCCCTTATCTAATGCAATTAAAGTGATATCAATGCACAGATATGAGCAAGAGTTGAAAACTCACTGTACCTGACCTCGTTGGCCTGCCAGCGTGAGATCTGCCCCACACCAAATTCCGCTGCTCCTTACTCAGGTCTTAACTCATGTAGGTGGGTTCTGCCCCCGCCTCTCCGGCCCTGGATGCCTGGCCTTGCACAAGCTACTTCTGAATTTGCTCCATCTTGCTGGCCCTGAATCAAGAAGAGTCTGCAGGGATAGTGTGGAGCAGTGGGGGAAGAATCCTTGCACAACATGAACGAGGAGAAGTGAGAGTTTCTACTTTCTCCTTTTTGTTTGTTTCTGTAATGCTGGGGACTTGTATACTGTGTTGGTATAATTTATTTAAAAACCGTAAAGTCAATGTAAAAATATTCAACGTATGTGACCAATTAGAGAGAAATGCTTATGACATTTTTATTTACATGGAGATTCGAATGCAAACAACTGGTAATAATGCGTCGATTCACAGCAGTCAGGGTGCCATTTTATCTTCAGCAGATTCTAGAACCAATATGTCAGATGTCAATATTTATAAAATGAGCACAGTAATACTTGCACCTAATTATGTCTCAGAAACATTGGAAAAAAGGCAGTGATGTATGTGAAGTGCTTTGAACAACTTGGGAGAGAAAAAAAATGGTATATAAACTCAGGATGCTATTGGAAAGGACAGTAATTTAGTATGGGGTTTTGTTTCACTAACTACTCTCAGCCCCAGATAGACCCACTGTTTGGAAACTGTTCAGTAAATTCTCAGAAATGTGTAGATCAATCCAGATCAGCATATACAAGTAGATTCCACAAATCAAGGCAAACATTGTGCATAAGAATTGGCCTCAAAATTACAGTAATGTACTGTCAATAATCCTCCAACAGCCCTTTAGCAGTCACCTCCCTGCTAGAATTCAAACCTTAGTATAGCAGTGAGGTATTTCCGTCTGATTTGTACACAGTTTAAACCCCTTTTCTGTATCTCTAGTTCTCTTCCCTTCCCTGCTCCAAAACCCTTTGCTGTCTGTCTCCAATAAGCTGTGGACGTCCACACCCATGATTCTGTGTTTGCTATCTGCTCTGGCAGGATCGCCTGTCTCCCAGTTCGTCCTATACTTGCCAAGTGAGAGTCCAGTGGCCGCTCCTTGTTGTCTTCTCAGAGGATCGGATCCCAGCTCACTCGGAGCTGACTACACACACCCTTCTGTGTTCCAGTGGCAACCGCTGAGGCCCCTCCTGGAGTCTGCCCCAAGCCACGGGAGGGGTGCCACGAGGCTCTGCTTCTGGCCAAATCAACAGTGACTCAGTTCCACTGTCAGGGAGCTGGTCTTGTACCTTGTTGGGTTGAAGGTCACTGAGTCACAGAGGAATAACCAAGTCTGTGTAGAACAGGTAAGTGGTAAATAGTAAGAAAGAATGGGTACGTGGTCTACAAATTACATCCTAGTGATCCCAGATGTGGGGCACTGGTACCTCTGTTGGCTGAGTGAGGGTTCCACCCATGATCCTATTTTATTAAAGGGCTTGGCTTCCTTAGGCTGCTGTTGTATAGACAGGGTGATTTAGTTATGAAAACACATTTTAGCAGATCCCTGAGCTCTGTCCTTCAACTTGTGTTTGCTTTGGAATTGAACTGCATTGTCATAGCCTAAAACCCTCTAGAACTTAAACTTTGCATCCCTGAACTTGTGTTTTGATCACTGTAAAGGCCTGAAGTCATGAAAAGCAAGTCCTAGCCTTTCCCTTCTCCGACACTGTTTGGTCCAGGAATGTTCCCAGTGCCAGACTCGTGTGGCTGGACCTGGTGGCCTGGAGGCCAGGGTGGAATGAGGCCCCTGAGGAGGAATCCAGGAACAAGGAAGAGGCCTTTGAAGCTACAGTGAGCATAACTCCCAGACGTGGTGGAATGCCACAGGAGCAGGCGTGGGTGTGGCTGGGAAGGGCTGTACCTACCTGCGGCAGAACCTGGGCCCCTGCTGACCCCCAGAACCTGGACCAGGCGGCTGACTAGGAACAGCACCCGATGACAGCGGGGAGAGCCCCGCCCATTCCCTGGTGCTTGCCTGGCCGGGGGTGCTGCTGTTGGGCTAGCTTGCATACTCTCCCCAATCCTGGGCTGTCCATGGTTTGCCCCTGCCTTCCTGTGGTGGGCGGTACAACTCAGGGGCACTACGGAATCTGACACCCATCCATGATTGACGAGCAGAAGTGTTAGGAGACAACCTGCTCCGCTACCCACTCGGGAGAAGCTCCTGGCCTTCTGTGGGGCGGGCACCAGGACAAAGTAGGACAATGTTGTGGTGGACGTTTCCCGTACCTCACCACCTCGAAGGCCATGCTGCGGTGGCCGTGTGGCAATGCTCAGGCAGCACCTGTTGAGATATCGCTGGTGAGTCAAGTTCCAGCCTTCCCAGGGACCGTGTTCAGGCACCAGCCGCTAAAGGAGCCAGTGGGTTCCTCTGTGGGACATGAACCCCCAGAGCTCCAGCAGGGAGAAAGCCAGGGCAGCTGGGGGGGGGTCACCCGACAGTGCACCCCAGCTAGGAGCACCCTGCTGCATGCTCTGCTCAACTTGGCAAGCTCAGCAAGGCGGCCGCTGGCCGGTGGCTTTCCCTTCAGAACTTCTCACTTTGTTTTAGCTCAGCCTCTGGGATAGTCCAGAATTTAATTTTTATTGCTAAACTAGTAATAATGATGTAAAAATATGATTATAGGGTCTGATTTAGCCCCTATGAATCATGCTCATGCATATTACCTTATTTGAGATTTAAAAAGTCCTAAGAATAGGTAAATTATCAATAGCTCTGTTTTATAGATGAGAAAACTGAATCAAAGTTATGTAAATTGATTAAAATCACGCAATTGATAATAGAAGAAAAAATATTTTATGCCTTGTATTTGCAAATCATTGTATTGCAAATCAGCCCCTTGGGAATCACACCCTGGCCTTGTAATTCTTTATCTGATCACATCATCTGCTTAATTTTCTTCATGATCCTTGTTATTTTTCAGAAAATTCTTTTTTGGGGGGGGTAAAGGGGGTACAGGGATTGAATCTAGTAACAACTGAGCTACGTCCCCACCCCTTATTTATTTTTCAGAGACAAGGTGTCACTAAGCTGCTTAGGGCCTCTCTGAGTTGCTGAGGCTGGCTTTGAACTCACCACCCTCCTGCCTCACTCCTGAGGCACTGGGATTAGAGGCCTGAGCCACTGCCTGGCAGAAAGGTCCTTTTTCCTCTTACCTGGGACCTAAGTCCTGCGTGGCGAGAGACGGTGGTTGTCTCACTCTGCTGCCTGCTGCTTGGGCCGCGTGCCTGGAGTGGGTGATTTACAAACCAAGGAGTGAGTGGCTCATGGCTCTGAGGCTGGACGTCTAGAGAGGGCCACTGGGCCAGGGACCTCACGTGTGACCAGGAGGCAGGAAGGCTGGGGCCAGGATGGCCCTAGGGGCGGAGCTCCAGGGTGGCTCTTGTGGGACTGGACCCAGTTCCCCAGAGGGGGGCTGTGCTTTTTTTGGGAAGGGTGAAACCCACCAGGGAAGGAGCACAACCCCTTCATGCGGGAGTCCTCAGGGCCTGGACCCCTGTCACTTCCCAGCACCGCTGCACAGAGAACGGAATTCACCCTGAGTTCCGGAGCAGACTGACCATGTGGAAAGGCCAGCAGAGCGTGCTGGACATTCAGTCCACACAGGGTGGGAAATGGTGACATCAGGGAGAAGAGAAGGGTGAGCCCCCCCGGAGGAACTCCTTACCACAGAGACACAAACACAGGCGCGACCACACGCGCCGTTGGAGCTGTGCACCTGTCAGGCTAGAGCCATGCGGAATCAGGGAGGAAACCCAATGGGAGGAGCATGTTCAATGGAAAGTCTTCCCTATGTCCTCCAGCCGGGCCAGCTCTCTGGAAGTCCTTCACTGCACATCAAGCTGCTTCAGAGGAGGCAGACTTCATTCCGCTTTCTCTTGTTTGATCACATCTTTTCTGCCCAAGGTGGGGCTCCCTCATGCACTATAAAATACTTCTTTGTATATCCTCCATTGCTGACACCAGAGCTTATGGATCCTGCGAGGACCCTGGGATGCAGCTCAGGCCAATCTGTGGAGATGAGAGACCACACGGAACGGAGCCGTCCCTCCTGGTTCCCTCCAGCCCAGCAGCCCACAAGCACTGACCCCGTGGACGGGTCCCTGCAGCCCAGCCTACCGTGCTGCTGCTGCTGCTGCAGAGGTGGAGATGAGAAGGACGGCCACCCAGGACACCAGGCAGGAGGAGGAGGCTTGCTGTCCCAGCACCTGAGCTTGGCCGTGATGTGTAGTCAGCACACACTGGCCAGTAGAGATGGCCACCAAGAGCAGGAGACATGGAGACACTGAAGCTCCCATGGATTCCTTCTGTGATGAACAAGTTCCTGCTTCTGTAAATCTGTACCAAACTATGGATTATAAGCAGATTTTAATAAAATTTAAAATGATCCACTGTTTCATTTTTTTCCAGTGGAATATATGTAGTAGTAAAGTCTATAATTTTTGTAGGAGCAAAGGGAGTTTCCACATTGAAATAGTAGTCTAGGGTTATTTTCATATTACCAAAAGAACAATAGCCAGTAGTGCTCCTTAGTAAATAACTATATCACGCGTGTCTGTAAGGACACACGATGTATAGAAGACTCTGACCTGTGCTATTCCATTTGGCCTCTCTTCAAAGCACACCAGTGGCATAGGTGGAGCAGGTGTTGTCTGTTGGGTACATAAGTGAAATATTTTAAAAAATAGGCGATCTTTTACAATCCTAGTGCATTTTCATGACTCAATGACAAAGCCTGTTGCCTGGGATCAGAATGCCCGGACCCAGCCTCTGGATTTGATGCTGACATGCTTTATTCCACATTCTACATTCTTGATCACCTCATCAGGAAAATGAGAAAATACATTTTAAAAAATGGTGCCTTCTAATACTGTCTTCTTATTCTGTGTTGTTTTGGTTGTGAAGAGCTGCTGTTGGACGGGCTCGAGACCATCCTGACTGTTTTCAGTGGGCCCCAGCTCTGAGCGCCGAGTCACGGTGTGGACTTCCGTGCAAGAGAGAGCCCGTGGGTGGGAGTCCTGGCTCCAGGGGAGCCACAGGAGGAGGAAGGCTTGGTGGGAGGAGATGGGAACTTTGGCTCCTTGAAAGGATGAAAGCCAGCCCCAGTGTAGTGTGGACTGGCAGTGGTATCTCTCAGTAAATAAGAGTTTTGAGAATGCTTCACCCAGGAACTTGTAGGGCCCGGCTTGGACATGCAAACCTCACGCCCTATAAAATACTTTCCCTCAAGGGGTGGCGGTAACTGACGGAACTCTGGGAGATCACGTTTCTGGGGACAGATGTGAGCTTTGTAGGTCCAGGGGGAACGTTCTTTCTCATGGTTTCTGAAAACCCCAGGGTCAGGACAGGATGGAGCACTATCGGAGGGTAAGAGTCACTGCTGGAACACCAGGGGAATGCCACTCACGCGGGCAGGTGCCAGGGAGACTCAGGGCAGCCTTTGGAGAGGAGTAAGAGCTGGGGTGGGGTCTTGGCTAGGTCTCCAGGTCTCACCACGGTCGCTCTGCCTCTTCCTGCAGGTGCCTCAGGGTTGGGGTGGGAGCTGAGGAGAGTGTCCTCCAGAGCCGAGATCACACAGGTAGTCCTTCCTGAGTCTGCTGCTCCAGGCTTCCCCACTTACCACTAATGCAATACCAGGGAAGCAAAAAGCTAAACAGTGTTATTAATAGTGACAGAAAGCTTTTAGCCGGGCTCCCCTAAGCAATGATGGATATTGTTTATCATATTTTACTTGTTGCTTTTAAACTTTCCTTGTCAGAATGAATCATGGCTAAGGGGAAGGGGACCAGGTTATAGACAATGTGATTTGTCTAATCGCCATTGCCCCTCATCAAGAGGCAGAGGCAAAAGTAAGCAGAAGCAACTGGCAGGGTTGTCTGGGGTCGAAAATCATTCTTGTTGCCAAAATCTGTCATGGGTGCACCTGGACCCAGAAGAAAACAAGCACTCTGCGATAAGGATGATTTCCTTCCTGCACCCGGGGAGTGGCGTTTCAGGTTGGACTCTTGCGATCCGGTGGATTAATAATGATGATTAATTTACTTCTCCCCTAGCTACATAAATCAGTGTACAGAAACGACGTCTTGCAGCTGCCCAGAAGCTGTCTTCAAAGACGCCGTATTTCGCTCCTTCTGAGCAGGGCAGCCTGTGTGGTGGGCACGGGCCGCCTCCCTGCTACCTCTCACTCTCAGAGCTCCCCGTGCCTTGACAGGCAATAAACACACATGTGACCAGTTTAATTGGGACTTAAATGGTTGTGGTTTTCTTTTCTTCTTTTGCATAGTTTCAATTTGCTCAATATTCCTAGGAGGAATGAAACAATTTGAGAAAACCTTGAGTAACAAAAGTCAATATTGTGATAAACGTTGAATTTGCTAATTACGGAACTGATTCCAACACTGATTTGACAAAAGAAACGATACAAAACAAAACATAGACAATGGTTTGGGTCTCCAAAATTAACAGAATTAATCATCTACCAGTGTATGTGTTGTTATTTAAGTAATTATTACATAGCGTTAGAGACAAAGGTGCAATGATCCAAATGGTGCATTTCTTTATGAAATGGACTTAAAAATTATGAGACCACATTGCCATTCACTTGACTTCTGTCACATGTTCTTGGATAACACAGGTGTTTAACTATCTTCTTGACATGTAAGTAATATTGCTGAGGTTCTTCTCATCTGCAGAAGGAGGACGTGGACCAGAAATCAGTCCTTCAAGGCTGTGGTGGTATAATTTCTGTTGTTGAGTTGGGTTCATACTTCTGTGACCTTGGACATGGACAATATTTCTAATCTTCAGTTAACTCAATATGGACCTAAAATTGTGTGCTTCAGTCAAAGGGAGTCATGAAGAATAAATAAAATATTAATGCACATAAAATACTTAATATAGTACCAGATACACTGTCAGATCTTTTTATTTTTATTTTTTGGTTGTTGTTCTGATATTGTGTGTTGAACCCAGGACTCAAGCATGCTAGGTAAGTGCTTTACCACTGAGCTACATTGCCAACCCTTGTTTAGTCTTCTTTTTTTGAGACAGGTTCTCACTAAGTTGTCCAGGATGGCCTGGAACTTGTGATCTTGCTGCCTCAGCCTCTGGATCAGCTAGGATTACAGGGTGCAGCTCCTGCCTGGTGCATCGCTTGCTCTCAATAGATATTATTATTTTTTTTTTTTTACTTTTGCAGGCGTTATACGTGAATCATTGCAATGTAGTATGGATTGTAAGTACTGCTTGCTGAGAAGGAAAAGAAAAGAGGAGATGGGAAGATCTTAATCCTGAGCTATGGGAAGACTAGAGAGGAGCTGGGATTGAGCAGAGGCGTGAAGAGTGATTAGACAGGAGAAGTGGAAGGGCTCCGGGTGGGTGTGGAGATGAGGGGAGAAGGTGCAGGATAATGGCTGGGGTGTGGGCAGCCACTGTCAGGGCCAGTGTTGTGAGGACCGAGGTGGGACAAGATGGATGAATGGAACGGAGGTCACGCTCTCTGCTGGCTTCAGTGTTCCAGCTCCAGGGGCAGGAAGGGCGCTGAAGCTGAATAAGGGGAGCTCGATTCCTACTCCAAGTGTTGTCCACAGATATGGAAACCTCCAGCATGGCCTTCCTGACTCCTCCAGAAAACAGGAACGAGACCCTCCTAACTGCTTGGCGGGCAACAAACCCGCTTCTCTTACTGAGAGAGATGTCCTCTGCTAAAGACTTAGGCCTTGGATTGGTTAAACCTGCTCTGCTCTACAGAGACAGTGGGAGCACTTTTCACCCGTGTGTGTGTGTGTGTGTGTGTGTGTGTGTGTGTGTCTGCTGGGCGGAGCCCGTTCCCATGGAACTGCCTCGTCAGACGTCCCAGCACCTGCGTGGGACTCTGTGAGGGGCATCAGGCAGGGAGTGCCATCCAGCACCTCGGACACTTGTAAAGCCAGTCTTGCCCCTAGAATTCTCTGCAGTATACCCCCTCACCCCCGGTTGTCAATCCCAATACCTGTGTCTTATTTCTTTCCAAACTGGGCTGTGAAGGGGGAATATTAGGCCTCAGGATGCCATATAGAATTCAGGGAAGGAGGGGACAATGGGGCAGTGTCCTCCCTGTGCACCCAGGGCTCAGCTGGACTTCACAGGGACCTTCTCATTTTACTCTCACAATAGAACTATTTATTCAAAGGAGAATCCGAGATCCAGATCCAACCACTTCACAGAGCTAAGGACCACAAGAGCCAGGTCTCTGAGCTGGTCTGTGCTTTTCCCACTACACCCTACTTCTGAGTTCTCATTAAACATGCTGAATAATGTGCTTTTTCCTAGTTGTGGGTGTATATGTTTTATATTTCCTTCAATATTTGAAACTGTTTGACACCTGGAGGAGGAACAATAGCCATATTTCTTTCCTTGTGAAACAGAGTTGTCCATGTCCTGGAGCCTGTTCAGATACTTATTGGTCAGGATTTCTACACCACAGATGATTACCTTGCATATGTTTGAGGGCTTTGATGAGATCACCCCTTAAGAACTCCAGTACTAGACACTGTCATAAATGAAAGTCCAGGTGAGCTACAAGTTCCAGAGTTGACTTTGTGCCAGGAACATGAAGGGGCTTAGATGGGTCGCTCAGAGATTCTGCAGCCTCCACCCCTGAAAACCACTCATCAGAAGATGTCTATGAGATCAGAACCGTCAAACACGGTGAGCATTGAGTAAGAGAATCAGGCATTGCTGCACTTAGTAACAATGCTGTCCCTGGGGAGTCTACCTTCCAGCCTGTTTGGAAAACTAATTCAATCATGATTTAGAGTTTTCCTTTCCACATTTTATCTTTAACTCCAAGAAACTGTCATATTGGAGATGAGAATAAGTATGAATCATCCGTACCTATATTAATCACTTTGATATATTGGTGAAATTTAATGGCTAATTATGTATTAAGTCAAAAAATCCTCTTCGACTCTAAGATGATCTTCCCAGTGTTTGTGGAGCATTTCTCTGTGTTTTCTGAAGAGGACAATCAACTCAGCTATGCATTTTAATCTTATGCCGACTTTGTGAAGCAGATTCGCTCGTCTGTTCTGTTCCCCTTAACTCCCATGTCCATTTCTTGCCCGAATGTATACAGGTGCATAAATATTTGCAACATCTGTGCTTCCTCAAAATACCATGCCGTCAACCTCTCTGTGATTATACAATTCTACTTATGGCCTTTTGTGACAGTCCCAGTACTAACACCTGGTCTTGCCTTCCCTTCAGGAGCGTGGGTGCTCCTATCAAGTAGGTTTTAATGCTGCTGTGTCTGATCTCAGCCCAGCTGCCACCTTACCGTTTTCCCCATATCGCAGCATTTCAGGGTGTCATCGATAAATAGATGGAGTATGGAGGATTACAGGTGCT